GGAAGCTTGCTGTACCTACAAGTCTATATGAAGTAAAGCACTTTACCAGAATAAAAATTGCCCTCGGGCATAATATTTGGACTAACTCTGTCCAACTGACATTGCATCCAGCTTTTGTCCTCTGGGCGTTTTGGGAACAGCACTGCTCAGTGTTGCTCATTCAGAGTCTAGTGTTTTTATTCTCCTATTGAGTTGGATGAATTCATAATTCAGTATTTGAATGACCAACACTCTCAGTTATGCTCAGAAACCCATGATGGTCATGATCTTAAGCTCTGTAAGTAAATTTTATGTTGCATATTCACTGTGGAGATGAACAATCAGTGGTCTGAATCATTGCTGTGTAGCTGATAATCACCGAAAGGGTTAAAATTAAGGTATATAAGAATGAGATGAATTCCCATTGTTTTCTTGGCGGAGTACCTGAATTGAGCAGAAAGCGAGGACATAAATCCCAAGGAGGTGGATTCTTCCAGTGAGCTGCTATCATAATCAGCATTATTTTGTCCTTTATGTGTGGCTTAATGTGGCTTTCTTTTATAAGTTACAACCAAAGATTGGTTTACACACTCTCAAAACCGTTTCTGCCCATAGCTACTTCATGGCTTATGAGCTAGCGTTTAATGCTGCAGTGTAATTTTGCCAAGGTTCTACTGGGAGATTTTAAATCAGTTCAATAGGTTAATCACTACATGAGTGAAAGAGAGAGGAGTGCTCATAGTGCACAACAGGAATGAAAAAATATACAAATGACTTGAAGTTTAGGGAATCCTAGTTCAAGTAAGACTGCAGCTCAGGCTTTAATTATTCCCAATTTGCCAGAATCAAAAGTTTGATGTTTGAAATACAATCTGAAAAAAAAAGAATTAGTTCATTGAAATATTCCCGCATGTGTGACCGAGGTATCTGCATATTGTGTGCCATGTGTTTATTGTGCTTTTGTGTATTTGTGAAAATTGGAATTTGTGTTTCTTTTGCATAGCATGAAAAGCGATAGTATATCATCTCAAGGAAATAAAAATGTATAAATAAATACTTCTGTGTGACTTGCACCACAGTGCTTTGCGTTAATCACCAATTCTGGATGTTTTGTTTTACATTTTGATAATTATTATATTTTTAAGACAATTGTCAATATTACCAGAGGAAGGAAACAACATTAAAATACCATGTATTTTGTAAATGATAATATAAGACTGCGAATTAATTATTTACTAATAGTCAAAACACTTTATCCTGAAATAATTCCAAAGCTTTGTTTGCCTGACTGGATCTGTGTATCCAGCCTGTCTGTTCGTTTTCTGATGGCTACATGATGTCCATTACGTATTAGACTGGATTTTCACACAGATATTTAAGTCCCAAATTTCCAACATTTGCAGAAATGTTGACTCTTTTACTATAAATAAATAACCCATGTGGAAAGGAGTGTTACTGTTTGCAATGCATGTTTCTGTGCTGTGTTTGCTGTGTGTACACTTTCTGTACGTTAATTCAGTGGCTAGTTGGCTTCCAGACACAAAATAAATGTGGTAAACTTTGTTTTTCTTTTAAAACTGCATGTTTTGACCACTGTGCTCACATTGTTCTTAAAGTACAATAATTTGAATTTATTTTACGTTAGATGTGTGTGTATGACATTGAAGCAAGTCTAAATTTATATAATACCTTTAACATAGTTAAACATTATCTAGCGCCTCACAAGAACATTCTCGAGAATGAGGTGATATCAATATATGTGACCAAAAGCTTGGCCAGAAAGATCAGAGTTTGTTAAAGGAGAAAAGAGAAGTAGAGAAATTTAGGGTAGGAAATCCCAAGTTTAGGAGTGAAGGGGTTAGTAAAGTATTAAAATCAGGGATAATCAAAGGAGCAGATTTGAAGAAACATGGAGATCTCAAAGGGTTGTAAGCTGCAAGAGATTGGAATTGGTAAAGCTATGGAAGAATGCAAAAACATTGGTAAGAATTTTAAAATTGACTCTGTCCAGCAATGCCTCAATGTAGATCAGTGAGCATAAGGCACATGGGTGAATGGTACAAATTAGCACAACAGTAGCAGAGCTCTGTGTTAGCTCAATCATTGCTTGAACATATATAACTAAAGGTAACTGTTATTTGAGGGGGGGTCATTTTTCCACATGAAGTACTCCTTATGTAAAGCTTGAAAATAGAAAATTAAAAGGAAAACCTGTTTTTTTTCCTCTTTTGCAAAAAAAATAGTTGCACAATTTCTGCAACAGGGAGAGACAGCTTTAAGTATTGCAGTTGGAAGAGAGGTGTCATGTAGATCCAAAATAAAGATTTAGATTTATAAAGTACTCTTTGTGACCTCAGCACTTCCAAAATGCTTTGCACCCCAAAAAAATCACTTTAAAGTGAGATCACTGTAGTAATACAGGAAATACAATGACCACCTTACGCCTCGCAATGTTTTTATAATTAGATTATCTTGGTTTAATAATAGCAATTGAAGGGTAACTGTTGTCTGGAATTAATCCACTGCTCGTGTTCAAAATGGTGCCATGCGAAAGGACTGTTAACATTCACCTAGGAGGACACAGGGAATCTCAGTTTAATGTCTCACCCAAAAGACAGTTGGCCCAGCAGTGCAGTACTCCCTTTGTACTACCTTGGGAACATTAGCACTGAATTAACGCATAAATCCCTGGCATGAGACTTGAATCCATGGCCTTCTGACCAAGAAGCGACTGCTACTGACTGAGTCACAATTCATTTATGAAGTGAGTGGCAGACAATACATATTTTCAATGTATTATCCATCGCTGGCAATGGATACCAGGCCATTATTGTATAGGACCAAGAGATGTTTAAGAAATGTCAGACTGAATCCTCATGTCAGCAATAATATTGTCAACCTTAGTGGCTGAAGGGTGAATATTCATTTTCCTCCCAGAGTCAGGCTCTGCGTACACTACTATTACTGTCTTCTGACATATAGCTATTGCTTTTAGTCTCCAGCTACACAAGGTACTTGGTTAGCTCAATTGGCTGAATGGCTGGTTCAGTTCCCACACTGTTTGAGGTTACCACAAAGGACTCAACTTCTCCCCAACCTGAGCTGTGCTGATCTTCAGGTTAAAGCCACCACCAGCTGTCTCTCTCTCTGTCTGGAAGAGTGGGACTGTAGTGGTTTTACATTTTTACATAAGGTTCAAGGGCCACAATTGTTCTTTGAAAGCCCTAGTCATTGATGGGCAAAAATAAGTGTGGAAGTTTCAGTTTTGGGAGGACGCCGAAACTGGTTACAGTTTTCCTCACAACTTAGTCGTGCTGTAGGCTTTTTTTTGCATGACCACCAAAATAACACAGCTATTTTGAAATCAGAGAATTAAAAAGCTTTTTGTCTGTCCATTGCGCATGTTGCCTGTCAGAATTTTCCTCACTGCTTTGCTGGCCAAAATAGCAGGAGAGAAAGACTCTTATTATCTTGTCTCAATTATGCATTGTGTGTCTTCTGATTTTTCACTTTGATCTCCTTTGACTGCAAGTTGATTTCTAAAGAGCAGATCCCACCCCACCCTCCCTTTTATACCATTCAGTGGTTAAAGTGCTTCTCTGAAAGAGAAAAAAAGAGACATGACTGAGCTCCGACAGAATTGCTACCAACAATAGCCCTGGAAAATCTCCAGAGCTCTATGGCGCTTTGAACAGTGTCTGAAATCTGCCAGCTCCTACTTCCAGAATGATACTTTATATTCAACCCACTGTTCCTCCAACACCCTTCACTCTCCTGCTAACCTAATGTTAGTTTTGTTATTAATACCAAGGTCTAAAACGGTGAACTTTGAGAGAGTTTCATGGAAGTATTTAAGCATTTCCATGGTGAGTGATTAAAAGTTTTGGGGTGGTGTAAGGTGGGCTGCGTTGTGGTGGGGGAGGGCACTGGGGAGACGGAGGGATATCTGTATTTGTGTTAGCAATTTGTGCTTCTTTCTCTTCTCATCTCCTACCTCATCCAGTTGGAACCTGTCAACAGCTTCCCACAATGTATAAGGCACCAGTCAGTATGAAATGCTTTGGCAGGTATAAATTTCACTGCAATTGAAAAGCTGATTTATTTCAAAGCAACCTTTGACACACATTTCCAAATAGTGAGGTTGTTTAAACTGCGGGTTCAAATACGATTATAAGCAAATTTGGCATTTCAATTAAAGAGAAGAATGTGCACCCGCGTTATTGCGATTGGAAATCATTTTGTCACTTTGATCGCCAAACCCAGGGATAATTTGCAGCAAAGTTTGCAATGAGAAGGCATTGCACTGAGTTGTGGAAAGTTTTATCTGATTTTAGAGGGAGCTTCAGCTCAAACTTGACCAATGAAATGTCAACCGAGTTTTGGCTGCAATTTCCAGCTTGTAACATACAAGGGATTTTAAAGGGGATGCTGTCTCCAATACGAGAATTTAGAGCTGGGGGTCACTGTTCAAAGGTAAGGACTGTCCATTTGAGACAGAGATGAGAAGATTATTTTTCTCTCACTGAGGGTCCTGAGTCTTCAAGCTGTCTTCCTGAAAAGGTGATAGAGGCAGAGACTTTGGATATTTCTAAGGCAGAGGCAGATAGGTTTTGGTAAGCAAGAGGGAGAAAGGTAACAAGGGATTGTGGAGATGAGGCTACATGCAGATCAATTAAGATCTTATGAATTGGTGGATCAGGCTTGAAGGAGCTGAATGGCTGCTCCTATTCCTAATGTACATGTTTGTGCGAATGCTTCCAAATCAGAAACATATTTAAAGGTGATGTTGAATAAGTATGCAATGCCTGAAGCAATCACCTTAGCAGAAGCTCCATTGGATGTGGGAAACGCAAACTTGCCTTGCTATTTTCCAAACGTTTGATTACATCGACATTTTAAACCCAAAAAAACTAACCTGTCAATTGGCACCTTGAACCACGAGAAGAATTGGTTTTCACATTAAAGTTTTCATATTCCCAATACAAAGATGCTCTCAACACCTTTCTGTTTCTTTTTTCAAGAATGACCTGATGGAATGGCTCTCCATCATTGGCCTGGCACAATATTACAAGACACTTGTGGAGAACGGTTATGAAAACATCGAGTTCATCACTGACATCACTTGGGAGGACCTCCAGGAAATTGGCATCACAAAGTTGGGTGAGTGATGGCTGTTCTTTTCATGCCAGTCCTTTTTGGTTTGGCTTGCTTGAGGTGCTGAACGTTTATGATCCCCACCATGTGTCAGTGCAAAAGGTCTATTAAACCACAAAATCTTTGAATACCAGAGGAGGGTGATTTGGCCCATCTTGCCTGTGCTAACTCTTAGAAAGAGTTAAGCAATGATTCACTTTTCCATGCTTTCTCCCCCTAGCTCTGTGACGTTATCATTTTGAGGTAGATACTCAATTCTCTTTCAGAAATTACGACTGATTCTGCTTCAGCCAGCTTTTCAAGCAGTGTAACCCAGATTCCAAGAATTTTATTTTAATTGCTTGGATGTGCAGAACTTAAACATTGCTGAAAAGAGACCAGAGGTTGAAGCAATTCATCTTGCACTCATCAGAGCTAGAACACAAGAAACAGAGTTGAACAAAGGGATACTATTTTATACAGCATGGGAAGAGGGTGCTGACTGGTTGGGCTTTCATTGACAAGGGGATTCAGGAAGAACAGTTAACTGTTAATTCTGAGTCTGAGTTAATTCTCAGACCAGCCATCAAATTTCTCAGTGGTCATGGTATTCCCACTGGGATGCAGCAGATGGCTATCTCCATGACCCCTTTTCTTTTTCGGAAAAGCTCTCCTGCTGCCCTTATCCTTCTAAGTTAAAGGGCTTGTGGGCTTTCCATCTGTCATAGCGTGTTTCCATTATTGTTACTGCCCCCCATCATTTTGAACACTTATTTCCTAACTATAGTCTGACAACAGTTCTGTTGGCATTTTCTTTCAAGAAAAATTTCTTCTTGAGACCAATCCTGAAGAACACAATTCTTGTCGGAGCTCTTTTGTCCCAAAGAAAATTTGTATTGCACTCAAGTGTTAACTCTGTCTCTCTCTCTCTCTCCACAGATGCTACCAGACCTGCTGAGTGTCTCCAGCACTTTCTGTGTTTGTGTTGTACATTTAAACGCGGAAAGGTTATGATTAAAAGGTGTGATCCCTAAAATGATGGAGTCTCACAAGCAATAGGACTGCAACAGAATATAGGAAAGGAGAGTCTGAAAACAGAACTGTTGTCAGACTGTAGTTCAGAAATATATTTTACTGTATTACACACAGGTAAAACGTTTACTGCTTTTATGTATAAACTTCCATTATTTTTGATGGGATAGTGTTCAAACGTAATTCTTTACTGATAACAGGCTGTGCAACCAGTTTCTCTTTTGTTGTGTATTTGGAATATTTATCATCAGCAAAACTAAATTATCGTTCACAAGGCTGCTTGAATTGAATTCAGAAGGACAATAATAATATCTCATTAAGTGGGCCATGGCTGGACATGAGGCCTTATTTCATATTTAGAAAGACATACTCCAGTAATGCCATCAGGATGTCTGAAAGTGCTTTCAAGCCAATGAAATACTTTTCAGATATTGTTATAATGTCAAAGATGCAGCTTTAAGCATAGATGGATCCCACAACAGCAATGCAATAATAACCAGATAATCTGATTTTTAGCGATCTTGGTTGAGAGATGGATGCTGACTGGGACACTGGGGATAGCTCTCCTGCTGTTCTTCAAAATAGTGCCAAAGCATAATCGCATCTACCTGTCTAGGCAGACAAGGCATCAGCTCGGCATGTCATTGGAAAGATAACAACTCTGGCAGTGCAGCCCTGGGAAGATTGGCCCAGAGCTCTGTGCTGAAGTCTCTGAACCCACAACTTGTTGACTCAGAGGCAGGACTGCTACGAAATGTACACATCAAGGTGCACCGGTGAGACCAAGTTAGGGCCTGCATTGTAGCACTGAAACCCAAAAGCAGAATCGAGATGCCTACTTTGTCAGTGTGTCTTAGCTTGTATTCTCTGAATGGGGAGGATAAAGCAACTTTTGATTTTAGAGGTCAGTGGAAAAAGAAGCAAATTGAAGTATATTATTGGCACCGGACATACAGTTACTCACAAAGAAACAAAATAAAAGCCCATTATTGAGGAAGCAGTGGAATGTATGGAGGGCTTTTTGCTATTGCCTTTTGCTAATTAGCTCAACCTAAAACCTTTTAGGTTTATTTTCCAGCATGTTCTGTCCTGCTTTACACGGTTCATAGACACTTTGAAACTAAAGGACAGATGGAGACCTATCGCTGCACTTTCACTAGGGCAAGCTCTTCAACCATAGCTATAAGGACAATGAACTTAAATTTAACTGAAATTGCTGGAGAAACTCAACAGCTCTGGCAGCATCTGTGGGGAGAAAGCAGAGTTAATGTTAAACAAGGAACAAAAACAAAGTTGCTGGAAAAGCTCAGCAGGTCTGGCAGCATCTGTGAAGGAGAAAACAGAGTTAACGTTTCGGGTCCGGTGACCCTTCCTCAGAACTGTGAGAGGGGCACAGCAATGATCCTCAGTGAGAGAGGGGTACACTGGCAGAGATAGTGAGTTGTTCCTGGAACAGCGTGTGACAAAGTGAGGTTGGAGTCAGACGGGAGGAGCACCATAGGGATGGGGTAGGTAGTTAACGTGGTGTGTTTGGTAAGATGCAGCGAGAAAACTTGCTAGGCCTCACGGAGAAAACATCCTCCAAGAAAGTTGCGCTTGGCCAAAATAATGTAAGAGTCAGCCTGAGTCTATTCTTGTTTTTTCAGAATATTGTGCTTGGTTTACACATCAGTTGACATTTTCAGATGTGGATATTGTTGGCAAGACTAGCATTACGATTTGAGAGGCAAGTGTACAATCATTGAGGCAAATTAGCAGTCAACCTGATTGTGTGCTAGTGTAACATCAGTCATTGGACAGTCTGTTTTACATCTTGTTGTGCTCAGGTCTCAGACAAGGTTCCCCAGTTTGTTATGGCTCCAAACAAGAAACCCTAAATTGTTAAGCTCCGGGATGAGGAAAGGTGAACTCGCTCACCTACATCATTTCAGCCCCCTGAGTGGGTTACGACAAAGTTAATTTAAAAATAGATCCCTATCGTTGTGGATACCCAATGCTCAGACCCAAATGGTCTTTTGCTTTAAAAAGAGACAGGTTTTCTCGAATTGACAAGGGGAGAGTTTATTAATCATTTAATCCCAGAAGTGTTATAAATGCTCAAACATAGAGGTTAGAAATAACAATCCAAAAAGATCAAGGTTAAAGAAAAACACTGAGATATGGTTAAGACTCTGAATTGTTTGCACAAAAGTAAGAAGTTGAAAGTTGCGGCTATTGCATTGTGGGTTACAGGTAACATTGACATTGGTAGTGAAGAGCCAATTTCAAGTTTTGCAGGTTGGTTGAGAGTTTGTTGTTGTGCTTCCTTTCAATTTTGATTGAACTCCAGCATTCAGGGTCAGACAGAGCCCTTTCTCTGTCCTATTTCTTTTTGTCTGGCTTACTAGCTAACTGGCTAACTCTCAGAATGAGAGCGTCCCAATGCTTACAACACAGAGCTAACTAGGAGATAACACTTCCACTGTGATTTTTACAGCATGTTAACACTTAAATCCAGGCTGGAACACACAGGTATACAAGAAAATGTTCAGTACCACTAGTACACTCCAGTAGAGTTGAAACTGGCTTTTCAATCCCTTTCTTTGTGTGTTCTTCAAAAAGAAAAAAAAGTGTCTGCAGTATGTTATATAATCCACAGGGCTGAGTTGCTATTGAGCAGGGAGTCAACAACCCTCATTATCTTTGTAGCCACAAGAAAATCACAGGCCAGTCTGTTTTGATTTGCCTCTTCACATTCTGGAGGGTTCTTGTTTGATGTTTCATTTGCATCTTCAGTTCTGACATTCTGTGGCTGCTCTCTCTCCCTTCAGACAGGCACGTAGTTGTTTTTAGCTGTATTAGCCCTCTTTTAAAAAAGACACCTTTTGGAAGTACAAGTTAAAAGTGTTGCTAGTACATGGGGTTCCGACCCAAGGTCATGCCAATCACTTATAACTTTGCTTTCTCATTAATATAAAATGTGCTGCTGACCCAGTGTTACCTGTTAATATTGTCACATAATGTCAAATTCTTCCACACGATTCCAATGTTTACTGTTTCTGGGGAAACATTTACAACAAAAGATTGGACGTGAATAGAGTGGCTGTGGAGAAGATGTTTCCACGAGTAGGAGTGACTAGAGGCTGAGGGTGAAAAGTGAAGGGGCAACCCTTTAGAACTAAAACGAGGAGGAATTTCTTCAGCCAGAGTGTGGTGAACCCAAGGAACTCATTGCTGCAGAAGGCTGTGGAGGCCGAGTCATTGACTGTATTTAAGACAGAGATAGATAAATTCTTGATTAGGCAGGAGATCAAGGATTATGGGGAGAACGCAGGAGAATGGGGTTGAGAAACATATCAGCCGTGATCAAACAGCAGAGCAGACTCAATGGGCTGAATGGCCTAATTCTGCTCCCATACAGTATGGTGTTATGGACCTTCCAGGAGTAAGTCATCCTGTAGGCTGTCAGTCAGATTTTGTGTTCACCATTCAGCTCAGACTTTTATTTCTGTTGTTACTCAGTCGAAGTGCAAGCTGCTAAAGATGTAGCAAAGCCAATGGGGCATCTCATGGAGCGGGGTTAGGGCACTCTCCAAGGTGCTGGCTTTTGGACGAAACATTAACTTGAAGTTTTCCTCATTAAGGCCCTTAAGTCTTCGTTCTGAGGTGTTTGGAAACATTGCACTGCCATGATGAATCAGGGTATCCTTGCTGTTGTGGTCACTATTTATTACTCAACTAACATAATTAAAACAGATGATGTGGACATTATCACATAATTGTTTGCTAGACCTTGAGCAATAGGACTAACACTTTATATTCTTAACCAGTGCGAATTAGAGATTGAAACAGGCAATTGATGAGGAGCCCAAAATCAAGGCAGTGTGATTTTTAACAGTTTTGCCTGAATCAGGTTCACAAATGTGTTCCAGTACCGATCTATGTTGTGACCCCTGTATGGAGGGGTTACAGACAGGCGGATGCTACAGATAACTTGCAATTACCAACAGCTTGCACGCACAGACAAGGTGAAACTACAGGCATATTGCAGTAACAGATGGATTACAATTACAACTTGGTTACAGTTACAGGCAGGTTGCAGTTACCAACATGTTGCAGTTACAGACAGATTAATGTTACAAACTGGCTGATTTACACACAGTTTGCAATTACAAATAAGGTACAGTTACAGTCAGGCTGCAATTGCAGACAGATTAAAACTACAGAAGGCTTCAGTTACAGACAGTGTGAAATTGTATGATGAGGAATAATTTAAACAGCTGAAAGTAGGTCTGCAGAACATCTGACTGTTTTATTTATCCCGGCCTGGTTCACAACCAGTTTGAATTCAGGCCCTCTGAGTATTAGTGTTTAAATATCTCAAATAGAATTGTGTGAAGTTCTTTGTCTGCTCTTTTTACCCAGCACTAACCCAGCTATTGTCAACCAGTCAGATCCTCTGTTCAAACGATTTCATGCACCACTTTTGTCATTTTCAAAGTGACTCATTTCAAAGCAGATAATGGTCAAAGCGCAAGCAATGGACTCAAATTACAAAAACACCTAAAACCCAAAACGATACAGAAAACAAAGAAATTTTGACCTGCCTAACATATGTTAACTTCAGACCTAAAAGCAAAATCAAATCTTTACTTATGTCATGGTGTTGTAAAATGTACAATTTTTAAAGAGTGCGTTATTCCTGAGAATAGGTTCAAGATAACTTCAAAGTTGTAACAGAAGCAGAGACAGTGAGAGACAAAGAAATAGTGAGAGACAGAGAGAGAGAGAGAAAGACAAAGAAACAGTGAGAGAGACACAGAGAGAGAGACACACAAGAGAGAGAGACACACGAGAGAGAGAGAGACAGAGACAAACAGAAAGAGACAGAGAGAGACAGAGACAAACAGAAAGAGACAGAGAGAGACAGACAGCGAGAGAAAGAGACAGAGAGAGACAGACAGCGAGAGAAAGAGACAGAGAGAGACAGAGGCAAACAGAAAGAGACAGAGAGAGACAGAGGCAAACAGAAAGAGACAGAGAAAGAGACAGAGATAGAAGGAGACAGCGAGAGAAGGAGAAGCACTCAAAGTGTTTCACACCAGTATTCAACTGGTATTTATTCCTGTGAAGCCTGTCCTGTGCTGACTCATTGTTGAAAGTTACAAGTTGTCGTTTTGGAGTTAATTTGTTTCGTATTTTTTTTTAAATTCTGTTAGGTCATCAAAAGAAGTTTATGCTCGCTGTGAAGAAACTGGCAGAAATCCAACGAGCCACCCGCTATGAGTCTGGCACCTTGAAGAAGAAAGCCCCACAGTCGTTGGAGATTGTGACTATAGAGTCTCCTCAAGGTGAAAATGCTGAATGCCAGTCTCCCAAGATGTCTACCTTCCAGGACAGCGAACTGAGCAATGAGCTGCAAGCCGCCATGACCAGTGCTGGAGATGCGAAGGACAGCCTTGAGCCGAAACAAGCCAACCACACTGTGCCTGCTGTAGAGGGCACTGCCTACCAAGCAGAAGGGGCCACCCAGGAGTGTGACAACAGCAGCGGTGCCAAGGTGAAGCTGAATGGCACCACTCAGGAAGTAGCAGGAGGAGGGAGCAAGCTGCAAAAGGCAGCCCTGTCCAAAAGCCAGGAAAACCTCGAGAGCCCGAGCCAACGATCGATTGTCACAGAAGTAGTTGGTCCCACAAGACGCAGCCACCGACAAGGGGTTCAAAGAGCGAGCGTACCACCGGCGCCTGGCAAGCCAAGAGAGTCCTTCTCTCACGCTCATCAAGCGCTGGTCTCGATGTCAACATTCACCCCACCACAGACGCCCACAAAGCCTAGGCCTTCCTCTCCGCAGACCCTCAATGTCCCTCAGGCCACGGCCAAAGTGAAGCCCATCCCGCAGCTCCTGCAGACGGACAGGCCCATGTCCCCGAGGTCTCTGCCACAGTCGCCCACTCACCGGGGCTTTGCCTATGTCGTGCCACAGCCCGTGGAAGGTGAGGGGTCAGTGGGGCCCAGCCACACATCGAGCCCGCTGGCCCAGGCTGTCCCCGTTCTGCCAGTTTCCGTCCCCGTGCTCTGCCTCCCTCCGCACGCCAACGATTCCGAGGGAGACCCCTCGAGGCCGAAGAAGCGAGCGCACAGCGTGAGCCGCTACGCCGTGTCTGACAGCGAGCAGGAGAAGGATGAGCTGGCCTTACCCGACGCAGGCCCATATGCCACCATCCAGAGGCACGTGGCCCGCAGCCACTCGGTGAGGGGGCACTCGGCCGCCGACAAAAACGTCAACCGTAGCCAGTCATTTGCGCTGAGGCCGAAGAAGAAAGGGCCGCCGCCACCGCCACCCAAACGGTCCAGCTCGGCCATTTCCAGCACCAACCTCGGTGACGACTTGCCAAAGGAGAAGGAGACAGGCAGCCTCAAGGACCCCGACGCCAAGGCCAGGCTCAAGGAGCAGCGGAGGGCCAGTGATTTTGGGGGGACCGTGGAGACGGGGAGTGCCGGCAGCGTGAAGAGCATCGCCGCCATGTTGGAGATGTCATCCATCGGCGGCGGCGCCCGGGCCCTCACCCTTCACCGGTCGTTCAAGGCGGAGAGGGGCCCCGGCGGCTCCTACGGCCCGCTGGCACAGCCGGTCAGCTCGGAACATTCCAGAGTCGCCACCGTGCTGGCCACTGTGAAGCGCGGGCCTCTCGACAGGTCCCGGGATGCGATCGGGCTGGACGGCGAGGTCATCAATCGGAGGCGGACCATCAGTGGACCTGTCACGGGCCTGATCGCAGCTGCCAGGAAGGAGAAGGCCGACGGCGGCCCACCTCCTGGGCCTGAGGCCGAGATGCCCGTGGACAGGCTTCAGGTGGATCCGACCGGATCGTCCAGGAACAGTTCCTCGGAGAATCTGCCGTTCGCCGAGGAAGGAAACCTGACCATCAAGCAACGGCCTCGCCAGCCGCTGAAAACCGACGGTGCGGAATGTCTACCCCATCTCCAGGTCAACTCCGAGCTTGTGAAGCAACAGTATTCCGGCTTCACCGCGTTCGAACTCACAAGCACACTGAAACGGAAAGGGAAGCCCAGGCCAACCCAGCAGCAAGAGGTCATGGCCTTCCATTTAACCGAGTCAAATACCGTCAAAAGGCGTCCAAAAACCAGGGAGAAGGATCAACTGGAATCTCCTCAGGAGGCCCATCACCATGCGATGCTTCAGAATGGCACAGGAACAGTTAAAAGAAGGCCGGTGTCAGACATGACAGGAGGAGAGACGTATCCGAGCTTCTTGACTGTAGGAGAGATCCCCCGAAGAAACAGCGGAGAGCATGCCTCCCAGTTTTCAGACGGGGAGACGAAAAGACCTGTTAAACCACCAGTGTCTCCAAAACCTACCCTTACTCAGCCAACAGGTTTAAAAAGACATGGACTGTCAGCAGCCAATGCCAAGAAGTCTCCGTTGCCTGGTCCCGGGAGCCCAGGTATATTTTCCTACTTGTTATATCATTTACTTCAGCTGTCATCCTCTTTTCCCTGTGATTCCTACAGTCCAGAAATATTCACAGAATGCACAAACATTCGTACAGACCATGAACATTCTGACAGTCCAGAAACATTCCTACAGCCCAGAAATATTCCTAGAGTCCAGAAACATCCCTGTTTGTTCAGAAATATTCCCAGAGTCTACAAATATTCCTATTGTCCATAAATATTCCCAGAGTCTACAAACGTTCCTGCAGTCCACAAATATTCCTATTGTCCGTAAATATTCCCAGTGTCTACAAATGTTCCTGCAGTCCACAAATATTCCTATTAACCATAAATATTCCCAGAGTCTACAAACATTTCTACAGTCCACAAATATTCCCAGAGTCTACAAATATTACTACGATCCAGAAATACTTCCAGAGTCCACAAATGTTCGTATGGTCCAGAAATATTCCCACAGTTCTCGAAATTTATTGCTGGAAGCAAATATTCCTACTGTCCATGAACATTCCTGCAGTCCGCTGATATTCCTATAATCCAGAAGTGAAAAAGAAGGTGTCATGTTCATCACAGCTCCATTCATCACGTGGGGAACATCCCTCATGGGGCAGGCTAGAAGAACCTGGGCTATCTCCACTTCCTCAACCTTCATCATGTGTTACGTCATCACCAAAGGGCTTCTCACTATCAGAGGGCTTAAAGATGCTGAGTCAGTTTTGGTTTAGCAGATCTGTCTATATAAAACAGAAAATCTTCCGCAGGTCAGGTAACATCTGTGGACAGAAAAACAAGAGCTAACACTTTAGGTCAAAAATGTTATTTCCACAAATATTTCCAATCTGTCAGCACTTTGTGTTCTTATTGGATGGATGTATATTTCTACATCATATTACGAAGTTTTAAAGATGAGGATCCAAGTTTTTTTTTCCCAACAACTGTTGAAAGAATAAAATACTTGCATTTATGTAGTGCCTTCTAGTAACTGTCAGATGTCCCAAAGCGCACACCGAGAATGAAAAATTTTGAAGTGAAGTTAGTGTTGCAATGTCAGAAGTGCAGCAGAAAATTATTGCACAGCAGTCTTCCACAAACATCAGTGTGGTAGTGATCAGATAAACCACTTTTGTGATGGTGATTGAGAGAGTCACATTGGCCAGCAGAATTGGACTTGGTTTGTGTTCTCATTCAAAAGCCAGCACCTCAGGCAGTGCAGCACTCCCCCGGTCCTGTACCAAAGTTTGCTAAATCATACTATGCTGTTGTTTTCCAAAGAATGACAATGTGTAGCATCAGGATTAGGCTCTTCTGCCCCTCCAGCATTCAATGTATTCACAGCTTTCCTATACCTATGCTCCATTAACCCGCTTACACTCCAAATTGCCCTAGTGTAACAAAAATCTTTCATTCTCTGTCTTACAAGCTCCAATTACAGAAATCATAGCCTTTTATGGGTGTGAACTCCAGATTTTAACTATTCTCTACATAGAAAATGTGCTTCTTCATTTCCGCTCCCACCCCCCCCAAGGCCTATGATTTATTTCAATGTTACATTCCTTTTTTATAATTTATTCATTTTTGTGGGATGTGGGTGTCGCTGGCTGGCCAGCATTTATTGCCCATCCCTAGAAGGTAGTGGTGAGCTGCCTTCTTGAACTGCTGCAGTCCTCCTGCTGTGGGTTGACCCACAATGCCATTAGGGAGGGAATTCCAGGATTTTGACCCAGTGACAGTGAAGGAACGGCGATATATTTCCAAGTCAGGATGGTGAGTGGCTTGGAGGGGAACTTGAAAATGGTGGTGTTCCGATGTGTCTGCTGCCCTTTCCTTGCAAATAGTAGTAGCCGTGGGTTTAGAAGGTGCTGCCTAAGGATCTTTGGTGAATTTGCTTTTGATTATTTCACCAGGGGAAATAGTTTCTGTTAAGTTACCTTTGCTTTTTGTAGTTTGAGATATCAGTCATCTAGTTAAGATTTTTTGCCCTTCCTTTTGATTCCCAATAAAATTCTCGAACATGATCCTTTGATTTTTTTTCCCAAAAATATCCACTTATCTTCATAGTTCTTTGAAGGTAAGGCATATGGGGTTTTGGGCTTCATAACTAGGAGTATTGAGTACAAAAGCAGAGATGTTATTGCTGAACCTAAAGCTCTGGTTGGGCCATAACTAATAAATTGGGTCCAGTTCTAAACACTGGCCTTTAGAAAGAATATGAAATCCTTCAGAGGGTGCACTAAAGATTTCCCAGAACGGTTCCAGGAAATTTTAAGGCAGATGTATATGACTTTTTTGTTAAACAAGGGGTTGAAAGATTATTACGGGTAGGTAGGCATGTGGATTTGAGGAATGCAATCAGATTAACCAACTGAATCTGTTTAATGCATGTTTGGATGGAGAATATGATAACATTTCAAATATTCCTATGAAATTAAGCTCTCCTTTGTCTATTTTTCCACCCACATCGGAACCACCAGTAGATACAATTATCCAAGGTGACCATCAACAGTGAATGATGTCACATGATTCCTGTTTCCATTCATCAATTTTCATTCACAAAATCACACACATTTCTTAGTGATCGCGATATTCAAGCGAGTTTTTCAAATACAAGGCATGAGGGCAGCTTCAACTGCAAAAATAACAAGAGGCATGTTGGGAAATGCACGTTGCTAGGCTAAATAGAACAACAATAACAAGTTATATTTATCTGGCATCCCTAATGTGATGAAATTTCCCAAGGCACTTACAGAGGCACGATAAAGCATCATTGGAAACCAAACCACAGAGGAACTATTAGGTCAAATGACCAAAAACATGGGCAGTTTAACTCCCATCCACAAAAGGAGGTAAAAAGCAGGTAAACAGAAGCTGGGTCAAAGAGGTGGGTTTTAAGGAGCTTCTAAAAGAAGGAAAGAGGAGCAAAATCCAGGGTCACTGTTAAAGTCTGAATTGGGAAACTCGTCGTAAGTCGAGGGTAGAAACTTGGAAGATAGGAGCAGGAGGAGGCCATTCGGCCCTTTGAGCCTGCTTCGCCATTCATCATGATTGTAGCTGATTGTCCAACACAATAGCCTAATCCTGCTTTCTCCCCATAAACTTTGATCCCATTCACCCTATGTGCTATATCCAGCCGCCTCTTGAATGGATTCAATGTTTTGGCATCAACTACTTCCTGTGGTAATGAATTCCACAGGCTCACCACTCTTTGGGTGAAGAAATGTCTCCTCATCTCCGTCCTAAATGGTCTATCCCGAATCCTCAGACTGTGACCCCTGGTTCTGGACACACCCACCATCGGGAACATCCTCCCTGCATCTACCCTGTCCAGTCCTGTTAGAATTATATACACTTCTCTGAAAGCTAGTGATTTCAAATAAACCTGTTGGACTATAACCTGGTGTCGTGTGACGTCTGACCTTGTCCACGCCAGTCCAACATTGGCATGTCCACATCATGGCCACCATCAACAGCAATGCAATTTTGAGCTCAGGAATTTCTCATGTGTCAAATTCGGAACCTGGCACTTTATTTTGTGTTTATTTAGCTATCAGCAGATACTATAGCATCAACAAATTAAATTTAACCAAATCAAACAACATTTTGTTGTGAGGTCATTTTGTTCTATAATAATTACTACTTCATCTCTACTTTTCACATGCTTTTACAGTTTTAACAACCTAAGCCAACACTCAAGACATGCAGTAATTATAGCAGATCCTCCTTTTAAATTTACACAGCCATTCCAAAAAGAAACATGCTTTGAATTGCAGCATGAATAACGTACAGTAAAATAGTCATTATTTTAGACGGGCTAGTTCCTAATGTGCCAGATTTCCAGTTTTAGTGTTCACTTGGATCAGCAGTACCACAGTGTGGGGTTATGTAAAGTCACCAGCATCTCAGAGGACTATACAGCCGGTCACTATTAGAGATAGATGACTGGTGATGGTTTAACCTGAGGGTAACCATGCCTCAGGCGAGGGGAGAGCTTGAGAAGGAGAGTCGTTCGTTGTAACCTCGGCTGGTGTGGGAATTGAATTCACACTGTTTGTGTCATTTTGCCTCATAAACCAACTGTCCAGCCAACTGGGCTTAGGGTCGGTGAGCTCAATTGGCCTGGATGAGCTCAATTGTCCTGGATGAGCTCAATTAGCCTGGATGATTGATTTGTCATCCATTGGCCTACACGCAGGCTCAATTCCCACACCAGCTGAGGTCACCACAACCTTGTCCCTCAGCTGCTTGTGATGGTCCTCAAGTTAAAGTAACCACCAGTCACCTCTCTGTCACCTCTCTTTATTACTATTGGTTATGTCACTGAGTTCGCAATCCAGGCAACCCATGGGTTTAAATCACACCGGAGCAGTTTTAGGGCATTTTAATTTATAGCAGACTATGAAGCTGTTGGTTTGTCATAAAATAAACCCTGACTACTTCTGTTTTGGTTTCCTTATCCAACAAATGATACATTTGCCACAGAGGCCACGTCACATAAGGTAGGGTGATAAGTGAGTTTGGTCGTGTTGTGTCTTCCTGTTGTGGTCTGTCTCGGAGGTAACAGCGGATTATGCTTTACACCCTACCATACATCAGAGACATCTCAGAGATGACCACAGGGCTACTCAGACCCCTAGGTATCAGGGTCGCCCACGAACCAACGACCACCCTGCGACAGCTACTGACAAACATAAAGGATCCCATACCTACAACCAGCAAAACCGGTGTAATATACAAAATACCAGGCAAGGACAGTGAGAAACATTGCACAGGCCAAACAGGAAGAAAACTGACAATAAGGATACACAAACACCAACTAGCCACCAAGAGACACGACCAATTCTCACTGGTCTCATTACTCATGGATAAAGAGGGACACAAATTTGACTTGGACAACATATCCAAAATCGCACAAGCCAAACAGAGACACGCCAGGGAATTCCTGGTGGCCTGGTATTCTAACCGGAACTCCATCAACAAACCCATTGAATTAGACCCTGTGTACAAACCAGTGAGAAACAGAACCGGAAGTGGTACCAAACACCCCAGCAAACCGAAGCATATAAATAACAAGCAGGACAGAACACCAACGCCTCACCGGAGGCGCACTGACGATGTTACCTAGTGGGGTGATGAAACATTTGTAACCAAACCCATCGCCTCAGTGAGCAACTCTACAACCTCATGTTATAGCCAGTTAAGATGTGTCTTCACTGGTGTCATGCATTAATAGCCAGATCATCTGTTTTTGTGATGTGTTCACCGAGGGTTAAATATTGACACAGAAACCAGACAGAATTCTTCTGTTTTTCTTCAAAATGGGGACACTTTACATCCACCTGAACAGGCAATCACAGACTTATGTTTAAGATCTGATCTGAAAGCTGGTACCTCTGACAGTGCAGCTGGCCCTCAATGCTGCACTAGAATGTCTGCCTTGCTTTTGTGTTGAAGGTACTGGTGTAAGATTTGAACCCACAACCTTCTGACTCAGATATTCCTGACTCAGTGTTACCATTGAATCCGGCCCAGACTCTTTGTGGTTGTAGAGCCAGTATGAAGGGAATGGTGTTATATGTTGCTGAACAGGTCATCAGTGAAATGCATGGGGATAATTTCTTTAGTGCTAACCTTTGAGTCATCTGCAGGTATCTTGTTCTTGCCCAGTTATTCAGCTATGCTCGAATGTTGTCAGTATATATTTCTATTTTTCTTAACGTGATATTTCTTTGCATCGCTTTTCTATCCCCAGAAGTGAAACGCGCCCCACCCCCTGTCTCCCCAAAACCAATCCTACCTCCCCCTCTGACCCCTCCCAAACCCATCAAACCCCACACCATTCTGCAGTCGCTGAGTGCAGGCCCCACCCCTGTCCCTTCTCCTGCCAAGCAACCAACCATCAAAGCAGCAAGCACACCGCCGTCCCTGTGTTCGAGCCCAGCTAAACCCATCACCGGAGCTCAGCCCCAACAGGTCCCGGTCAAGCCACCAAGGTCCTCGATAGCTGGCTCTTCCACAGAGATGGCCACGACAGAAGTAGCACAACTGAAGCTAGAGGAGACCAGTGCTTCACTGGCAGCAGCTCTACAGGCTGTGGAGGAGAAGATCAAACACGACGAGGGCCAGGAAGCAAAGTAAGTTGCTTGGTTTTGTTTCCATCGTGCGCGCGATGCTGATGGACTGAGGTCAATAGTGTCTTAGTATGCCTCACGATTAAAGATGGACATAGAACCATAGGCATTCGCAGCACAGAAGGAGGTCATTCAGCCCATAATGTCTGTGTGCTGGCCCACAGGATTAGACATAACCCTACCTTCCAGTCCTGGGCTCTGTAACCCTGTAGTTTGTGGCTCTTTTTCGTGTGCATATCTGATTTCATTTTAAATGTATATCTGCCGTCCCATAAGGCATCCAAATTCCCACTCTCTACTGAGCAAAATGACCTCTTAAACCATCTCCTCTTCTACGCTTACTGCTTATCGTCCTCGCTAGTGAAGTCTCTTTATCCACTCTGTCCAGAGCATTCATAATTGTATACTCTAAAGATGTGATCGCACTGGAGGGGGTGCAGAGGAGATTCACTAGAATGTTGCCAGGGCTGGTGCACTTTCAGTACAAAGTGAGGCTGGGTAGTTTTCTTTAGAGCCGAGGAGGGGGTGTGACTGAAGTGTATAAGATTACGAGGGGCATGGACAGGTGGAAAGGAAGCAGCTCTTCCCCTTAGCTGAAGAGTCAATAATGAGGGGAAAATTTTAAAGTGAAAGGCAGGAGGTTTCAGGGGATTTGAGGAATTACTTTTTCACTCAGAGGGTGGTGGGAATCAGAAATGCAGTGCTTGGGATAACACAGTGTGGAGCTGGAGGAACACAGCAGGCGAGGCAG